TCTGAGAGCTACGCTGTGCGAAGTACTTTTGAAGTAACATTTCCCTCTTTTTTTAATAAATCCCTGATCATAATCAGAGTCCAGTTCCTAAATATTAGAGGCACAGTCTATCTATAGTGTAACTATGGTAACAGTAATCAAATTGAGGGTCTTATGCCTCTGAATATTCATTAGTTATATGCTGAAAGCTGGGAATCAGAAGATGAGTTGTCCTGATCATAGACACAAGGAGAGAAAAAAGGAAACTGTAATGGACCTAGAATAAGAGAGGGGTGACAAAGCTGAAAACATTCTTATCACTACTTTTCCTTGCAAACACTTAGCTTTAGTTGTCACAGTTAAATGAATCACAAACAGGAGAGAAGGTCACCCTTTCATTCAATAGACAAGCTTAACACTACACAAGGGTGAAATTCCTTGCGAGGAAAGTCACGTGAATCACAGCAGTAAAGCGAGGGCTCACACCATCCTGACAAGAGATTCCCTGGAGGAGATGTAAAACAAAGGGAATCCAGTTGGGGCTCTAAAATATCCAAAGAAAAGAATATTCTAGTGTAAAGCTGACAGGGATGGTTTCCATTATTATCTCTCCTGCCTTGTTTGGGAGAAAAGAAAGTGATAAAGCTGTTGCAGGATCTCATAGGGATCGTAACTGACTGTTACAAGTTAAAGCGGCAGCTGAGACACTTTAATGTCAATACCAGGACAGATAAGAATGAGGGAATAACTGTCAGATGGCCTTTCCCATTCTCTTCAGCTGTGCATCTTGCCTGTGATCTGGAACTGAATCTGTAACAAATTAGGATGATGCACAGTTCTTGTAAGGTGACACGAACCAACACAACATTATACAAATGATAGTTATTATTATTATTATATAGTATATTGCACTTTTGGCATTTTAACAAGTTTCAGTGAAAATGAGGATATCTTTCTTTTTGCTAAAAAGAATGTAAAATCTGTTCCTTTATTTCAAAATAAGAATAATCCAGAGGTTTGAACACATTTGGCAGAAATTATAAATTACTGATATAATAAAACTACATTAAGTTTGTGTTCTGAGGCGAAAAACATGCCCTTCTGAAATATTCCTGAAATACTAACGCAAATAGGGAAATGTACTGGCAGCAAGGGAGAAGCACTAAAAATATTTTAAGCCTAAGATTTCCTTTGAAACTTTTGTCATTGAAAATTATAATTATAATGCCTATGCTCTGTTAGATTTATACAACCAAATTCCCCTGCTCTGGAAATCTGCAATGTTCTTGATTCCTCCTGAATACATAAATCACCTACACTCCTAATTACAAAATCTCTACCTTTTTTTTTTTTCCAGCTGAAGTCTATAATGAAGTCTGAAAAAGATGTATCTGAGCAAAGAGACCAGAATCAAATATATGGATTTTTTTACAAGGCAAGGAACACTGTGAGTTGAGAACTGTACAAAGTGAAGCACTGCTATCTGGTGGCCAAAAGTCACTTCTGATATTTTTCTGTCAGAAAAGACGATATACTCCCTCAATCAATCAGCTTCTGATTCCCAGCTCTTAGTTTTCATCATGCTGAGATATAGTTTAGCAAAGAGAAGGGAGAAAATTATCTCGATCTTTTGAGTTAAATGTAATTCTGTATATTCCACCAGTGACTTTTAAGTTAATTGAACTTTGCAATAGGCACAGCTTTCAGTTCAGTGAACAGAAGCAAAACTTGTGCTGTTTTGTGTAATGCATTAGCAAACAAGATCAGCTAAAATGACTGGCAAAAAAAAAATTGTCTATAAAAGGAGGCAGAGAAATAGTCTCAGAGACATATAAGTAATATACTTAAATACATTGCATTAAAATAAGAAGCTTTAGCAAAATACGTTCATTATGTGGAAATAATGAGAAATAATTTTGACTTAACCATTAATTTACTCTTACCTTTTAGATGCCAATCTTGATCCGTCTAAAATATTTTAGGACCATCAATTTCCAACGAGAATCACTAGATCTCATGCTCCCCAACCAGCTTTTCACTGTCCTTGCTTGGGCATAGACTAGAACTTACTACTCATATATTAGAAATTACTATACCCTGTGGCTCATCTCAGTGTCTTCATCCATTTCAAGCTCATGCTACTGCAGCTCTCAGTACTCACCTCATACTATGAGTTATTTTAGTTAATATCCATCTGTGAACATACAAATTTATATATTAGAACCTGGTATTTTTTTTCAAAGGACAGATTTGAAGAGAGAAATCCAGCTTTGCAGTATGCATCAATTAGCTCATATATGCTGATCTAAGCTAGCATCATCTGGTGATATGTTTCCTTGATGTCCATTTTTGGCATATTGATTTTGCCTTGAGAAAAAGGTCAGTATTTTCTAATATATAGGAACACTACCTTTTCATTAGTTAGGCTGGCCCTTCTCTTGCTTGTTTAGTGGAAAGGACCTATCTTGCAGCAGCTCCAGTCATATAATCAAAATTTGCCAGCTGTTTTGAAGCATCCTTCCTTACGGTTGCACATTCACTGTCATAGCAGAACAAGACTGAAATACTGATGGGAGCTGGCTGGTTGAAACTGATTTTAGACAACCGTACAAAGCTGTTTGGCATGTGTCTTGGGTAGGAACTTGGAATATACATTGAGGATTGCATTTCCTCTTCCAGTGGAGGGTTGATATTAAAATTATGTTAGTAGAACTTTTAATGGAAGGCATGATTGGTGGTACTGTAAATCTCCACTTGGTAATAAATATTGATTGGATTCCACTATGTGTGTCTTCCAACATGGGCCTTGCTGCCATGATGCAGAGCCTCATTACACCAGGATCCCAGCAGTGCCACTGTTTCCCTTCTGTATCTGAGACCAAAAGCATTGGGCTTCTTAGTTAGCAGTATACAGTTAGGTAAGTAAACAAAGCCATGATTTCCAGCCGTGGAATCATAAGTCTGGAAGTTTGAACAGAAGTGAAATTGTGATTTCAGAAACACTCTCAAGAAGAAACATGTAAGAGTTGCTGCCTTAATGCCTATGAATCCTTTGACTTCTGGGTAGACTTCAAGGGATGGTGTCAGCCTACACAATTAGGTGTGGCTTCAGATCTGTTTGAAAGCACACCTTTCTCCCTAAGTCAACAAACTCTTAGGTGACATCAATACAAACAAATTAAATGGCAGAAGAGCCTGTTCTTTGGCCTTGAGGCCAACTGACGTGTCTAGGCCTGTCGATACTATTAAATTCCCCCAGCCTCCAGAAAATGGAGGCTGAGTCTAAACTGCCTGTGGTAGGTAGTTTTCCCTGGCCTGGGCTAACCCCTGAATCATGGTCAGGAACTGTTTGGGATCATGCTACTTGGAATAGGACAAAACCAAGACAGGGCTTTCCTTCATGAGGCATAATGTCAGATAACAGGTCTATAGACATGGAGAAGTAAAAATGATCAAAGGTCATTTATGCATCTTCTGATTTGAAGCAAGTTTAAATACAACTCTCAGAAAAAAATCAGTGAACAGTATTATTCCACGGCCCACAGGACTCCTGTTACTTTGCCAAACTATCTTTGCAGAATATTTCTTTTAACACAAAGTCTTCTTTGCTGCAAATTTATAGTAATGATTTATCGCACTGCACAGTTAAGTACAGAGATAATAATATGACCAGATTTGTAACAAAGTGCTTACTGGAATGTATCAAGCACTTTACATTGAGAGGAGAAAGGAAGGGTTGTATGACAGGAGCCATCTACATCTAAGTGAGTCTCCCTGGAAATCCTTGATAGATGATGAAGGGAAACAAGTGCTTCTATGATGTAATTCATCTCATTTCAACACAGACATCTGAAACAGATTAATCACATCCGAAGAATGACGACATCTCTTCACTGACTACCACAAGAGTATAGATGATGAGCTCAGACATTTGCCACTATATTTTCCTGTATTTTGAGGAACAGATTCAGTTCCTTCAGCCTTTCTCCCCAGGATTTCTATGCATTTTTGTCATTTTCCTTTGTATTCTCTCAAATCTGTCTTCATTAGACCATGTTTCCCAAAGCAGCACACTCTGCTTAAGGTGAGAGTTCAGCATTCGACAACTCTGCTGATGCAGCTCAGAGAGAAATTTGTCTTTTTTTTTTTTCTTCATCAGCTTGATAATGTTTGTGGTCTGATGCAATTTTGAGATTATCTCACTCCAGGTCTTGAGCAATAGTGCAATGTTAGCACTTTTCCAATCTCCTTGAATTTTTCTTCTATCATAAGACTTACCCGTAATTGCAAGTAGTGCAACCAAGTTCTTCTCACCATTAGCTTGAGCACTAGCTCTGTAAGCCTGTGATTTTTCCCACTGGATATGATTTTCTGCATTACCTCTCTTACCAATGGATAAAAAGTTAGTTATCCTCATACTATACTGCTACTTCATTGTGCTTCTTTCCCTGAAAATCTCTGCATACTTATTAGTCATTTAAACCAGCACCATTAATTTATGACTTGATGGGATTTCTTCTACCCTTGACACTTTTCAGCCCTGCAGATGAAGCATTCTTTTTTTTCTGATAGCAATGGAAGCCTTTATATTCTTTTGCGAAGTGTTGAACATCTGTACCTTGCAATTTGAATCTAGTATTCTTCTGGTTTCCTTTTTTCTTTGTTATTGTTTGCTTGGTTTTGGGTTTTGTGGTTTTGGTTTTTTTGTTCGTGGCTTTGTTGTTGTTTGTATTTATTTATTTATTTATCTTTATTTGCTGCCTTCTCTTTGCCACTTGACAGGGCAGATTTTTACACACAGTTATCAAAAAATAGTGTATATGAAAAGAGAAGCTACCTTACAGAGTACTCAGTTTCAGAATTCAGTCCTAGTCATGAGTGCTGGATGGCATCCTGAAAGGCTTATTCTTTTGTAACATTTTCTAGGTAATTTCTAGTTTGAGTATGGGACAGGCAGAGATAACAAAATAATGAGAATGAACCATCGAGAAATCTGATAAACAGGAAGATATTAAGTTGGAACTGTTTATTTTATAAGCCAAAATAACAGCAAATATTATTAAAATGTATATAAATGGCCAAATTCTAGAAGGTAGGTCAGCTCTTCTTCCCATTTCACAATAGAAAAAGGGACTAGTCTAGGATTCGAAAAGATGAAGTAATGAAAGCACGTATCGTCTGTCACTAAGAGTGTCCAGACTTCATCTATCTTTTAGATGGTGAACACTGTATCACAGGGTATCCTTAGGAGAGGTGTAGAGAGGGGATGGTCACACGGTGATGAGAACACGCAGAGTTTAGACAGCTAGTGTTGCAAGGACACACTTCCATAGGAGACAGATCATCTCAGATCTTCCACTGTGCAATTTACACATCTTTTACACCTCTGGAGCTGGACACCATGAAAGGATGAGACAGCCTTGACACCAAGTAATATGATTATTCTGACACTCTATCCCTATTGTACCTTCATTTACATTATTTCTTTATATATATATATATATACCAAAGGTGTATTGACACTGACAGATCATTTTTTCTTTCCTAATGCAATAATGTTTATAAATGCTAATCAAGACAACTTTGTTCCTTAGTCACAATGGAAGCTGAAGTACTTTGCACAGCCTTTTTCCTGTGTATATATTGAACTATTTACTGTCAACTAGAGAAGAGAACATTATTTCCTAAATACTAAAGTCATTAATCTGAGGAGAATACAGAGGAAACACAGAAATAAACAAATAATTCAAACTAATTAACATTTGCTCATGGACTATTTTGTTTTATGGCTAATAAATAAGGTTCAAAGAATGACTGCTTAATTGATTGCTTTTCCTTTTTATTTGCCACCCACTGTTAGTGGTAACTAGATAAATCCTAGAGCAGCAACCAACACCAGCAGGACCTGAGCACATTCACTACAAAATGAATGAAAGTCTCTAAGCTCTTTTTAGGCAACAGCACATTAACTTTTCCTACAAAAGAAAATCATGTTTTAGAGAAGTGGCAAACAAGAAAGTGAGGGGGAAACAACCAAACAAATCTCATTGAAAACCTCTCACCAAATTGGGAAATTTAAGAATTAGCAGTGGAACTGCAGAGCCTTTAATTTTAGTGTAGCTGGATTTAATACCAGACTGACTGAAGGAAGTTACTCACTGTTTTCCTCTCATTTGCTTAACCAGTGATGTAACACCAGTTTTCAATGGCAAAGCAGCTATGCATTTCTGGTTTAGGTGGGTCGCCCTGCTCTGACTGATTAGGGTGGCCTCTGTTGCTTCTGCAGTGCTGATCAGAGCAGTCTGCACTTCCCACCTCCATATTTTTTCTTCTTATGACTCAATGTGGTCTTCTACTGTAAAAGACAGCAGGCAGACAAAAGCCAAATTAGTCAGATAGTGAAAAGGATAGGAAAAAAAAAGAGAATACTACTTTAGCAAGTGCCTATATCTCCATCACTTAAAAAATTACCAAACAATACCTGAAACTCATCTATCTTACCTTACTCCATTAATTATCCATCTTTAATGTCTAAGATGTGTTTTCAAGGAATAAGTAAGCAGTCAAAGGTGCTTTGTGAAATCTTGCTTGCTTCTGGAAAGGGATTCTTTGTGCAGGATGCCAATGCGGCTGCAGGAGAAAATGGACAGAAGTTCATAACGCGGTTGTTATTGCAACACAAAGACTTGGTAAGTAGAGAGAAACAGAGCCAAGTTTCAGTGTATATAGTGGCTGGATACATTAAAGGTATCCTAAAGAGAATAAGCACGCTGTTTTGTAGTAAAAACTGGCACAGTAGATTATATGGGCAAATGGGTGAGAATGGGTAGTTTAGAGCGGAGTGTCAGCTGAAAAGATATTACTGGAAGGGCTAGAAAGGGATCTTCTTCTGCATAAAAGATTATTTTTCAGAGAGGAGCTTTAGAGAAAGAGATGGTAAGATTATCAAGTCACAGACCTGATGCAAGTAACCAGCTAGAGGAATTGTTTCTGGACTATGGACTAAGAAAAGAGAACATCTAAGCAGTTACAATAGTTATAACACTGGAGGAGATAAATTAGCAATCAGCATTGTTCAAATGAATATGGACAAACTTAAAGGTGATGCTCACATGGGGACACTGTTTTCCCAGGCAGCATAAATATGCATAAAACACTGTTCAGTTACCTTCTCAGTACACCTTGAAATAAACAGTGCAACTTAAAAGGCATGTGGTCTCAACAATGCAATGCTGAAGCTAAATCTGCAGTGACAAGTAATCTGGTGAGATGTGCATTGCAGAATGTTGGTCAGAGGTACTCACAGGGCTCTAATGGCAATATAGTGCTCTTTACTTTGAGATGCAATGAGTGCCAGCAGATCTACTGCTGTCACTTCACGGAATTACAGAATATGCCGAGTTGGAAGGGACCCATAAGGATCATCAAGTCCAATTCCCGGCCCTGCACAGGACCATCCTCAAGAGTTACGCCTTATGCCTGAGGGTATTGTCCAAAAGCTTCTTGAACTCTGTCAATCTTGGTGCTGTGACCACTTCCCTGGGGAGTCTGTTCTTGACAGACCTTGCAGGAAAATAAAGGCAACAAAACCCCTAGGCAGTGGGGAGGGAATTCCCAGTTACAGAACCCAACATACAGGTCAAAAGCTATTGAGAATTTTCCCTCTGAGTTGCCAAACCTAAAAGACTAGTCTCCTTGTGAGTGAATGTCATAGGGAGTATATGGAAATACACAACATGAAAATTATAAACAAGAGAAGAATTACCCTTCCTAGACAGGAGATGACTCGACTGAAAAGAAAAAAAAAAAAAAAAAAAAGAAGCAATTCCATGAGAATAGCCCTGGGAAGAATAATACATCTTGGTCAGACTAATTAAAAAAAAAAAAAAGTTAGACCACCACTAATCTACCAGAGATGAATGATCACTGCTTCTTACCAAAGCTGAAACTTTCGACTGTATGTTGCTGAGATGTCATATGATTTAAAAAAAAAAAAAAATCAAAATACCTGAAAGCAGCTTAAAGAACATCCTTCTCAGAGAGAGATATGACCGGTCTGTGGCTGAGCAAAGCCTCTTGTGAAGGAAGTCTGAGCTCGTGGCAGCTTCGAGAGGAGCTTTTCGCTGCCATCTAATGGCAAACCGGGAGAAGAGAAAAATTAACACTGAGGTTTTCACCCTGCCGGAACGTTTTGGTTATAATTACAGCTCCATATAATTAAAAAAGAATTATTGGTTGTTAACTCTTTTTTTGCATTTTTTAATTAAAAAATGCACTTACTGGCTCATATTGGAAGTTCCCAAGCCCTCACACAACTGTAGTACAAATCTTGTGCTAGGGGTTTCCTGGCCTCTGCACTCTGTGGCATGGAGGCAATCTGACAATAAGATCCATGGGACACTGAAGTTCCTCTTTGGTCCTGGTCTGAATGAATACTGAAAACAACTGCTCGGTAAGCATCTGCTTTCATGACTGAGACATAGTAACATGATGTACCTTCTAACTAGTACAACTAGAACAGTCACCCATATAGCTGGACTAAGAAATGAAGCAAGATGTCCCTGTTTGGGGTTGTGCAATGATGAGATAAATCAGGTGCAGGTTCATGACATCCAAGTCATATTTGCTCTATGGCTAATAAATTTCTGCTTTTGTAAGATGCCACTATATCATCATACTTGAAAATAAAAAAGACTGAGTGATTTTAGGCACATTCTTTACCTTGCCTTTCAATATGAAGGTATGATAAAATATATAATGGCTGATTAACATTTCTTTATTAAGAGTAAGTTAACTTCACTCTTAGCAATGTTAGATCATGGCTTTTATCCTACATGAGACAAATCGAATTTCAAGAGATCTGAAAAGAATGGGGCATATGGAAAGCTAGGTTTGGAGTGGTTTTCGTTCAATTTTCGGTGTGGAGTTTTTTCCCCCATAGAGGAGGTAACATCTGCTCAGGGATTCTCCACTGTTCTAGATATTAATTTCTGTTCTGACTTACTATGTGCCACTATGAATGCAAGAAAGTAACTCTTACCAACCTGTTTTTTTCCCTCAGTAAGTATGTATTTTAAGACATATAGGGGGAAAGTGCTAAAAAGTTAGCATTTATATTCCCAATTGAAATTGGTCAGAATCTCTCACAACTGGGCACTGGAACATTCAAAATAAAGACATAAAGACATTCACAGCTTCCTTCCCAGTGAGGTTTCTAGAGAGGGGAAATAGCTTTGTCAATGACTTGCTCCATTACAAAATACCTCTGAGATAAAAACCTCCCATTCAAACACTTTATGAAAAAGTTTATATAGGTGTAAAATTAACCAATCACTTATACTTTGCTCATTGCACAGCTGTTGTGCAGCAGTAGCTCCACAGTTACATCACTTTTCAGATTTGCCAATAATCTTCCAAGGGATGATTGATCTGTCAACAGCATTTTAAAACAGAACTGTAAGGCCGAGGAGCTTCTTCATCTGCCAGAATTACCCCGGACCTTGTGCAGCCATTTACATCAGGGCAAGATGCTGTCAATCTGGCAGGGTTATATTTTGTACCCATTCTGTTAGGATACAGAGAATTCCCCAAATGCTAAGCAATCAGAGCATTCAAGAAGCACCAGGTTTCTGAACACTGAAGAGAAGGAATTACCATCAGTAATTGAGATGGGGAGTGAAAGAGGGAGATGTAAAGTGAAGAAAGATAAGGGGAAACCCAGGCCACAGTGGGATCAGATTCTCATGGTGGCCAAGCCCTTCAAACTGATCTGTGGTCGGGAAACTAGCATTTCCACAGTTTTCTGTTTTAGGCATGTGGGCGGAGCATGAGGGGCTGAAAACACGGGGGGGGGGAAATCCCTAGAAAACCGGAAAAAATAAAACGGGAAACGGCTCAGAAGCTTGGCAGTGGGGCGGGAGAACAGCAGTGGCTGGACAGGTCTCCTGGCCGAAGAGGGGGCAGAGGCTGGAGCGCAGGGGGCTCCACCGGGGGCCCCTCCCGTCCCGGGGCTGGGGAAGGAACAGCAGGGTACCCTCCGCCTTTCTGCCAACCCCCTCCGGCCTCCACTCCCAAGCCAGCGGGCACGGGGAAGAGAAGGGGAGAGGCACCGCCAAAAATCTAAAGGAGTGCCCCCAAGAAGATGGAGCCGGGCTCCTCTCGGTGGTGCCAACCACTAGGACACGAGGCAATGGCAGAAACTGATGCACAGGAAGTTCCACCTGAACATGGGGAAGAACTGCTTGAGTGTGCAGGTGACCGTGCACTGAACAGGTTGCTCAGGAGGCTGTGAGGTCTCCCTCCCTGGAGATATTCAGGAACCGTGTGGACACAATCCTGTGCCACGTGCTCTAGGATGGTCCTGCTTGAGCAGGGAGGTAGGACCAGACGACCCACTGTGGTCACTTCCAACGTGACCCATCCTATGATTCTGTGAGAGGTACCTCCACTCCCAAACCGATGGGCACAAGGGCGGATAAGTGAGCGGCACCGCCGCCGCCCGCCCTCCCCGTCCCACCCTGGGTCCGCCCGGCCCCGGCAGAGGGCGCCGAGCCCGGGCTGCGGCGGCTCCGCCTCCGGCCGGAGAGCGGCGGCGCGGGGACGGCAGCGGCGGCGGCGGGGCCTGAGGCGCCCCTGGGACCCAGGTAAGGCCCGCG